AGTACACAAAATTTAAATTAGAAATTTGTTGCTGTTGTACAGTTTTGAGTGCCTTTAATATGCTGTGCCACAATACTAAATCAATGGGAAAACACAGGAATGCAGTACACTGAATGGCAAAAAATGAAAATTCTTTTTGAATTGTCTCTTTCTTTTACATAACTGCCTATACAAATGTGATGAACTCTGAAACTCCTTTGTTGTTGGCTTATTATTTTATTTGCATTACTTTAAAAAGCCATTTTACTGTTTTATGAAAATATCCTGCTTCTTTACATTAAAAAAAGCAAAGTCAGCATTCTCTACATTCTTCTATCAGCAAGTATTCAGTGAAGATCAAGAAGATCAAGGTAAGTCCCATTCCCTGGTATAAATCAAGCAAATGAAACACCCGCCAAAGGATATTCTGCTGTGGGACGTGTTGAAAGACATCCTTTCCTGGTCTGACATAGCACTGTGCAGAGGTCCATGGTCCTATCTGGACCCTGCTCAAGTTAGGTGCTGACAGCCGCACTGTTGTAAGACTATTATCACTTTAGCACTACAGAGAGGGGGGCATTGTCCCCTAAACTGCCAAACAGGATGTCCTGGTGTCTGGTCCCATCTCATCTGGACTGTCTTTTGTGTCTGTGGAGAATGGGACAAATCCCTGCTGCAGATGTGACCATCTTTCAGCTTTTTACAATATTAACCCTTCCTTTTCCTTTTATGTGTTAAGTCCTTTATTATAAAGGTTTCCCAAATGTAGATTGTGATGCAAAGCAGCAAGCAGACACTGTAAACAAGCATATATGTGTAGCTGTGCTTTCACGCTGAATGTAGCAGTGTAATGAGGGTTATGAGATAAGCCCTAGTCTTCTTTTCCTCTCTCCCCCCACCAATCTCTTTTCATTCCATGGGAAGGCAAACACTCATCCTCTTGACTCTTTTTTAATGGTAACTGTCGAACAGTGTGTGCTCCACTCGTGGATTTATTGCCTGGATTGTGCAGAGGTGGGTGGTGGTGTGCCGGGGTGGGGTGGGGGGGTGTTGACCAAGACTAGTGTCAATAAGTGGTGCAAATAAATGCAATGGCAAAGATACCTGAGAATGCAGCTGAACACACACACGCACGCACACACACACACACACACACACACACACACACACACACACACACACACACACACACACCCCAATTAATTAATACAATACAATTACTTCTTAATGCAATAACCCATTAAAGAAATATTCAAACATGGTACAAGAGAAATTAGGTATGAAAACTACCCAAAATTTTCATTTGTTGTACATTTAAACTCCCAAAAAGACAAAAACAACCAAGTTACATCTCTACACAGAAAACCTTTTATACTCTCCTCGTGCCTCGTTATAAGATTACATAAGAAAAATAACACAATATCAAAAATAGAGGACGAATCATCCTACAGCAACAAGACTTAGTGACTAATAAAAGTTTGCAAAAGCAGAATGAGCACATAACAGTTTCTCTATCAACAATTTCCTCCTCTTCTGTGGTCATCTGTCACCATTGCCACTGTCAGACTCTTATCTCTTCTGATATAACAAGCAGCTCCTGAGTGGCACTCTACAAGGGCCTTCAGAGGGTAAACTCTGCCTTGTGTCCCCATGTCGGCTGGTGCTGATGGCTCCAGGATGGATCACCCATTCTGCTCAAGCACTCATCTGCAGCTCTCCAGATAGCTGAAAAATACTGCTGTGTTAAGATTATCATGGGGCAAATCCACACATTCAACGCTCTCTGATATGTTTTCCTACAGTTGCCATAGGCTATGGAATATTAAAGATGCTTAGTTAATACTAAGGAGAGATTAAAAAACTTCTAATAATTTATGGAGCAGCGCAATTACATGGAGTAAGTCTTTAACAGGAGGGTTTAAAGTCAGGATCTGGACAGGGGAACAGTATCAATGTGAGTTAAGTCCCCTTAATTTCTCAGTCTGATGTTCTATTTGAACTACAGAAAGCCATCTTCACCAAGCATATCTAGATGCCTTCAATGCATTGAGTTGCTTCCATTTGAACAGGTACACTAGGTGGCCAGAAAATCAGTTGTAGAGTGCCACTCTGTTACTCTGTCCCAATTATCCACTTATAATGTGATTTCTTAGGAGGATGACCAAAATAAAGTTATGCACCTATCATCTGTGTTTATTTTAAACCAAGTATATTATTTCCTTGCACTAATTAGTCTTTTTAGCAAAGGGGATAAGATAAACAGTAAAAAGATCTGGACAAAGCCCACCAGGCACTGAAAAAAAAACGGTAAAATTTGCTATTATGGTTTTGAGTACAGGGCATGTACCCTGCCGGGCTGACCAGAGTGTGCACCTAATTCCCTAAAATAAATGAGTAGTTGTCTTCATTTTGATTATAAACACAGCAGTGAGCTTCTGGTGCCCATACCCACTGCAGCTTTTGAGATCAGTCTGAGTCTGAACATTAGAGCAGATATCTTTGTGTGAGATAGCAATGCCTGGCCACCCCCTGCAGCGTTGCTCTGCGCTGAGTGACAGGACCAGTCTGGCTCTACAATGGATGATCTTTGCTGTGTATCTGACTGTATAAACACAAGTGGGACGGTTCCCTCTCACAGAACTCCAGTATTGATCACTCCAGGGAGATCTCACAGCCACGCTCATTGTCCCTCTCGTCTCTTTCTTCACTACTAATCAATAGCTCTTTGTGCTGATTTTTACCCATTGACAAATCACTCTGTCCTGTTCCTTTTGTTAAGCTGTCAGTCAAGGAAAAGGTAAAGCTGTACTCACTCAGTACTGAAGAGAAAGAAAAAAAGCTCTTGAAAAAAAGATACTTATGTTGAAGTGTTTGAGAATCTCTTTTTTTTTCCAACTAGACTCCAATTGTTTAAAGACTTTATTTTGAGCAACCGATACATTTCTTGTCCTCTTACAGATTTCTTTTGTTTTTAGTTTTTTGTTGGACCTAAATAGTTTGAATCATCAAACAAAAGTTTAATATGAGACCAAAAAATACCTGAGCAAGTTTGAAGCTATCAAAACCATGGTCTTGTGTGGAAAGTAGTTTAAGTTGTAAACCAACAACTTGTTGAATTTTAGGCAACTGCAAAGCGCCTTTACTGCTGTAATCAGAAAAGCAAAAGTCTCCCACTACATTACACAAACTTGCGAGAACTTGAATAATCCACAAACGTCATGGATCAGGATCAGGTCTTTAGCCGGAACTAATACAATTGTTGAGTTACAAACATGTATGTGAAAGACACACGAAGTGCTTCTTATAAGGCCAAAAAGCTTGACTGTTTAACATTTTATTGCTTTTAGTTCATTGATTGATTCCGTAAATGAATCTAATGAGCACCACTTACCACATTCCCCTGTTAAATTTAATCTACCCATGATGTACATGAAGCCCTTAGATTCTTGGGTTTAAAAGAAAAATATTATGCTGATAAAATTGGAGCCTTATTTGTGTGTTTGTTTCACCCCTTATATACATATCTCTTCCGACCGTCCCTGACGACCTATAACCTTCCTCAAAAATGGAAGTCAGCTTTTACTGTTCCTCTGTTTAAAAGGGGAAGACCCCCTACTTTAAATAACCACGCCTTCTGAACTTTGTCCTAGTTAAAGTTCTAGAAACTCAGCAATGGTCAACCTAGGAGAACTCTCCATACTACTAATATGTCAGTTTCAGTCTGGTTGCAGGAAATAAACACAATAGTATAACAGATTAATGGAGTGAATTACATCACTGAACCACTTGACTACAAGCATCGTTGTCACTGATTTACCAAGAGTATTTGATACTGTAAAACACTCGTTAAAACAGACACTCAGCAGCATTGGCCTTTCTGATAATACCATTGGCTAGTTTCATAACTGTCTTTATCTCAGAAAACAGTGTGTACAGAAAGATGGTTTCACATCCATTTCACTTTCTGTAGCTGAAGGTGTCCCTCAGGGGTCAGTCTTGGGACCACTACTTTTCATTTTCCATGTTAATAATGTTGGCAGTAAAGTTACCATTGCAAATATTATTTATTGTGCTGATGACAATGTTATATATTTCAGCAGAGATATACTCAGCCCGGGTCTCACTCGGTTGCAGTTGGCTTTTGATAAAAAATTCTATTGCTTAAAACTCAGAGAAAACAAAATTCAAAATCCAAGTCACATAACCGCCCATTCATCACCACTTTCAAAGCTTACAGACTATGTGTATATATCTGTTTTTTCATGTGGATTTGTTAATTGTGAACAGAATTTGAAATTTTTAAATTTCCATAATTTGCTCCTTTTACTTTTAGATTGTCGATGGGAAACACTGTATCCATGTTTTAAAATATTGGGAAAGATAAGACACTCAAGATCAAACTTCTCACCTTACGTTTCATCTGTTCTTATATGAAATAAATATTTGTTTATTATTTTTAAACTTTCCTAGTGTTACAGTATAGAACATAATTTTTGCCTCCATTTAAATATCCATAAAAAATGTAGTCCATGGTGCGGGTCTGCTCCTGTTGTCTCCATGGGGTCTGATTTTCTTATTTAAAATAAAACAAAGTTCCCTAATACTATAAAGCCATAATCTGGACTAAATAATTTGTTTTGTGTTACACATGAAGTGGTTTTATTGCTAAAGCTGCTGGTACTGTGCAGCAACTGGTGGATTTCATCTACATCTGTCCTGGACAGACACTGAGAAAATATTTTCCACATTTGTCCCCACACGGAGGGTCTAAATGTCTATTTTTTACAGTGCTCATAAAGCCAATAAACTGGCTAAACCTTTAAACATTCCTAAACGTCCATCGTAACAGAAAACACGGTGAATTATACCTTCTGCACTCATTCTAATTAACATTTGAATACAGTTTTGCCAATAAGACAGATTTGAAGACAAATACTGTTATTTCTTGGAGGAAACACTGACTGCAACCATCATTATTTATTCCAGTTTTCTACAGGACATATTAAAACTGCAATAGCTTGGGTGTGGTGCCGGTGCAGCGGTAGAGCACGCGGCCCCCTATGTAGAGAGGCTTCGGCCCTCGACGTAGCTGTCCCCTGGTTCAAGTCCTGGCCACGACGACCTGTGCTGCATGTCTTTCTCTCTCTTCACCTCATTTCCTGCCTACCTTCTTTCAAGACAATGACTAAAGAAGGGCCACTAGTGCTGCAAAATAAAAAAAACAACTGAAATAGTTTATTCATTTAATGTAACCTCATTTCTGAGGGGTAGGAAACCTTAATCTTGCCTAGAGCATTTTATGATACATAGTATTTGTAACGTCCTTCTAATCAGTCAGATGCTGAAATGTTTGTCCTGAAACTATAAAGCCTGCAGCCTAAACGTTTTTATTTATCTAATTACTTTTCTCATCTTTAATTAAAAGCTGTGCATTTCATACCTACAAACGGTGGCTAAACATTTCCCCTGTCTCAAAAAGTAAAGTTTGTGTTTTAAATTATGTCATTTTTATCATATTGTTTTAAACAATTTGTTAAACAGGCACCCTCTAAGGCCCATGCAAACACACAAGCACTAAACAAGCCTAACTGCAAAATAAAAGCTTGTATTATTACCTCACTCCTTTGGTTTTGACAACAGAGGACCCGCCACGCTGCCAGGAAATAAAAGTCTCACGAGTCATTAAACGCCTTTGTCTAAATGAGAAATCTCAGGTCTTGAAAGTGTGATGTATGCCCTGCTGTGACCGCAGACATTTAGAATGATGTGAGCCAGACTCTCAGAGAGATCTGATCTGAAGCTCTGAGCCATTGACGTTAGCACCTAGCTACCCCTCAAGCATTTAAAGTAGAGAAATGAGTCAGCCCCTTACTTGATGAATATGTTTGTGACTAATATGTTTGGCAGGCCTATATTATTTCACCTGTCTAAAACATAAATGAAGTCTGATGCTGCAAAACTAGCTTCCATTTAAATCAGACTTTTAATGGCTTGAAATGATCATCTGTTATTTGTGACTTTTGGTTTCCTGCCAGATGTACAGTGTTTCTCTCAGGGCATCCTTTGGCAGTCTGTGGGCACAAGCCTTGTCACATGCCAGCAGCCCTCCCCACATGTGTTCATCCCATGCTGCAGCCCATTCTTTCGCATATGGCCACTTGCCATGAGTCAGCAGCAGCGGTCAGAGGTTTCCACTGCTAGACACAACAGTCTGTCCGGGAAAAACAACTCTCTGATGCCTCAGTCTTCCTATATTGTCTGGGATGATTCCGAGTCAAGAGAGACTCATTGTTTGGATGTCTTTGTAGTGCAGGTCCGTTGCAGTAGGAATGTGGGAATTTCCTCCCTCCTGGGTATTTTTAGATCTGTGTGTGAATTCAAGAAAGCTGTGCAGTATGGGGTCTAAGGGTGGGGTCTGTACATCTATTCAAGTGTGGGAATCTGCTCATATGATAGCAACAAGGGTGTGTGAGTGAATGCATTTTGGAAACCTGTCTGCTGTTTTCACTAGAAAACTATTGCTGGACCAGAACAAGGGCGAGGCATCCATCTCCCATCTCTAATTAGTTCTGCCTGCATTTGAGTCCTATGTTCTGTTTCAGATCTGACAGCTCAACATAGGATTGCAGTGGAGAATCTGTTAGTTGGAGTATCTTAAGGGGGTTTGACTGGGTCACCTGGGGGTCTCTGACCTCCCAGGGTAATGTTCTTCTTCAGGTCCCCCTCTTTGACACCAGTGAATGGAGGCATCTATGCAGGGGGACGGTCAGGCGGGTGGATGGGGTGAAATTGGGGAATGGACAGGTCATATCCAGAAGGACCTGTCACCTCCAAATTTAAACTGAGTGGGATCTCCTTCCGGGTATCACTCACATCCTGTCAACTTAGCTGACATCTCCTGACACTTTGGCCTGACCTATTCCCTGCAGAGTACACATTTGGTTGTAGGAATCATTGTGTAAAAGGGCGGGTGTGTTTGTGTATACGTGTGTGTGTGTGAGTGTGTGTGTGTGACTGGACATCTGTTGATTCATCCTTAGAAATCACATGCATTGTGCTGTCACATCCTTTATCAGGAGAAACTAATAATTTATCAGGAAAATATATCATCTGATAAAGATCAAATACAATTAAAGAAATGTAATATAAAGTCAGATAACCACAGCGCTTTGCAAAAGTATTCACAGCCCTTGAACGTTTCCCCATTTTGTCAAGTTACACTCACACAATATTGTATATTTTGTATAATGGAGTTTAGACGAAAATTCAGAATGAAAGACTCACCTTCACTGTCTCCACCTTCCAATGACTCTTCTGTGCGTCTCCCGGCCTTCCAATCAGCATCCTGTCCGCCTGATTCTCCATCCAATCACCTTTCGACGCCTTGTTTTTAAAGGAGCTTCTACCGTGTTCATCTTCGCTTGTCAGCTGAGCTCATCCCTCCTCCACCCCACCTCCACCATCTTCCTTCACATCTACTCCTGGCTTCCT